CGCGGCTCCTCTCCGCGCCTCCCCCGCCCGACCTTTATTGCAACGTCTCCGGCGGCGCGGGCCGAGGCCGGGCTTAGAAAAAGGGCAGCGCGCAGCCTGGGCCCCCGCAGACCCGCGGGCCGACGGGGCGCGCTCGGGGCTCCCATCCGAGTCAGCCCCGACGGGCGTGGCCTCCGGGCTTCCGGCAGCGGGGAAAGGGGCGAGGGCACGGGCACGGGGGTCTGTATGTAAACGGTGACAGCGGCGGGGGGCGCGGCGAGGGCTCCGGGGCCGCGGGCCGGGCGCGCTCGGCCCGGGTGGTAGGTCCTGGCCCTCAGGAGTAGATGGTGATGACCTCGCGGCCGCCGCCGCGGACCAGCATCACCCGGTCCAGGTGCTCGGTGAGGACCTCGAGGAATTCCATGTCTGCGGGCCGCGGTCAAGGACAAACCCCGGCCCTCCCGAGGGAGGGGGTCGCTCCCCCACCCCGCCCCCCTCCCGGGACCGTCCGGAGCCCGGGGGCCCTGTCCGCGGTGCTGATCCCCGACCGGGAGCTCCCCCCACCCCCGCCGCGCTCAGACCCCAATCCCCCGACGGCGGCCTCCCGCGTTCCCAATCTCAGATCCAGGATACAGTTTTCGTCGCCATTGCGGTTGCGGGGAGGCCCGGGCATGTTGAGCAACACGAGCTTGGCGTCCCGGGATTTCTCCACGATGACCTCGTTCAGCCGCACCGCCGTGTGCATGCGCCGCACATTCGACTGGTTCCTGGGGGAGCAAGGGGTCACCCTCGGTCACCCTCCCAGCCCGGAGGGCGCTGCTGCGGCCTGGCCAGGGGCCTGGGGACCCAGGAGCACGGACCGCAGGCCTCTCCAAGGTGGCTGATCCAGAGACTCCAGAGGTTAGAGCCTTGGAGGGTCACGAGAGCAGAGACCATTTAAAAATAAGTAAATGTACATGCTGAGACACTTACAAGTTCTCCCATTCCCTTCAGGAAACACAAGAGAAGCAGAGAAAAAGAGAGAGAAGGAGAGGGTCAGCAAAAGAGGAAGAGGCTGGGTCATGAGCCATTGTCCTCTGCCTTGGGTGATTGCCACCTGCCCACCCCCAGCCTGAGACCTCCGGCCCTCAGCAAGCAGGGCCAGAGAGGGGAAACCCTGGGTCTTCGAGGACCCATTGTGCTCACTGGTTCTGCCAAGGTGAACCACACCCCTCAGCCCAGCCCTTCACCCCCAGGCCCATACGGCTTCATGCTGAAGAAGTCCTTGATGCCCTCGGAGGAGACAGGACTGGGACCTTTGTTCTTCTCTGCCACCGACTTGTCCTTGGTCCAGGTGAGATGCACTTTCTCCGGATCTGTCTCGCCCTCCCCCTCAGGCTCCTCCCCTGGGGAAGGCGAGCTGCTGGGACAGCTGGGAGCACTCTGGTCGTGGATCAGTTGCACCTATGGGATGAAGGAAGCCAAGGCAGGTAAGTCCTTTGGTTGGCCAAAAGTTCTGCTCCCAGCAGCTGAAGCCAGACCACCCCAGCCGCACACCTCCTCCTCTGGCTTCTCCTGGCTGTCTCCAGCAGTCTCTTCTGGGACGTTGAGGCGGAGCCGAGTGTTGGCTGGGTTCTTTCTCCGGATTGAGCCACGGGACTCATCTGTGATACTCTGGATCTAAGGCGTGACAGAGGTTGGTGCCAGTTCTGCTGGGAGTCTACACCCAGGCCCCATTGAGACTTACCGCGAGAGCCCGTGTTCAGCCAGGACCGGCACATTCCAGAAATGGACGATGGCTAAGACTGAATAGTTACCACACCTCTGACCTTACCACTCCTCTCCAAAGGCCAGATCTCCTGCCATCAACCAGATGGCATGCACCTGGACAGCAAGGCTCTGGCATAGCCCTGTGGGTTTAGTGCTGTATTCAAACTATTATCAGTTTTGGCTAGTCAGATTTCTTTCTTTTCTTTTTTCAATTTGGTAGTACTGCCGTTTTGAACTCAATCTCATACTTGAGCCATACCCTTTCTCACTTTTTTTTTGGGGGGGAGGGGGTCAGTTGTAGGGCTTGAACTCTGGGCCTGGGCACCGTCCCTCAGCTCTTCAGCTCAAGGCGAGCGCTCTACCACTTGAGCCACAGCGCCACTTCCCGTTTTCTAGTAGCTAGGTGGAGATAAGAGTATCACAGACTTTCTGCCCCAGCTGGCTTTGATCTGCAATCCTCAGATCTCAGCCTCCTTAGTAGCCAGGATTACAGGTGTGAGCACAGGCGTGGTATTCCTTTCTCGCCTTTGTTATTTTTTTGGATGAGGCCTTGCTAATGTTTTGCCCTAATCCTCTGAATCACCTCCTGAGTGGCTGGGATTACAGGTGTGAGCTCATTGTGCGGGGTTCACATACCACTCACTTCTTAGCATTTTTACTAAACCTGAAATTAACACCCCCCCCCCGTCTTTGGAGAGACCATCCTTTCCCAGCTCAAAGGGGCCCCTGTCAGTTCCCTG